TGGCCATCCCCCCTGGGGGATGATTTCTCGCTTTCTGTCTCTCTCTCTGTCTTTCTGGTGAGCGCACGTGCCCTATAGCAAAAACCTCCCCCCCCAAAAAAAAGTATTAAAAAAAAAAAACTGATAGGATGGGCGGCCAGCAGGTGGTGTGGTGGTCCAGGCACTGGATTCCTCACAGCTGACAACAGTTGGAGTCCTGGACCCAGCAGCTTGAAAATAACAACAAATAAATAGATAAATAAGTGTTTGTTTTTTTTTTTAAATAAAAAAAAAGAAAAGAAAAACTGACAGGATGAAGCCTGTGGAGTAACATGAAAAACTGCTCAGGACTTAAGTTAGGTGAGGAAACCAAAGTACAAAATTACAAACTCCCTAGGGTTGTGGTCTGTGAGTCACACAGCAATGACAATGGAGGGATGATGCCTTCTGGGGTAGAAAGAGTTTAAACAGGAGCAAAAATTCAAATCAATAAAGGGACAGAGAAGACAAGTGGGCATTCCCATCAGGATAAACACCCACAAAATGTTTAACGTAATTAGTAATGAAAGACCGGCAGTAAGAACAACAGTAGGGTGTCTTTCACCCATCAGATCAGCAAGGACTCCGTAGAGGCAGTAACACCCAAGAGTTCGGACACACAGGGACAAGGAACTCTCACATGGGCCACGGGAGTACAAGGGGGTGTATCTTTCAGGAAACCAAGCTGGCAACAAGCATCAGGCTTGGCATATGTTAAAACCATTGACCCCTGCATTCCATTTCTGGAAAACACAGGAAGTCATCAGAAACACGAAGGTTTATATATGAAGATATTCACCATGACACAATTTATAAAGAAAGAAGCAGAAAACCTAAATGCCCAATAAAAAGAAAATAGCTAAGCAAATTAGCCATTATATTGTATATTATGAGCTATGAAGAAGTTATTGATGAAGAAGAATGTTACTCATAAAATGTTAAATGAAAACAGAAGAATTCCAAGTAACAGCTATTATACAACCATATAAGGAAAAAAATCATGTAAATAAATAGGGAATAGAAGGTAATAACTTTTAACATTCATGCTCAATTGCAAATAGTCATAGAACCAGAAAAAGATCTTCCTTTTTTCCTTCTCTCAATTCTTTACTATTTTTGTATTGGAGATGATAGTACTTTTCTAATGAGAAAACATGGTAGGGGGCCAGCAGGTGCCATGGTGGTTAAGGGCACTGGACTCCCACATGGCCAACCGTGGTTTGAATCCCAGACCTGGCAGCCTGCTTTTTCACTTGTCCTCTCTCTCTTGTTCGCACTCTGTCCCTCTGGTCAAACTAAAATAAATAAATAAAGTTAAATAAAATAATTCTAAAAAAGAAACATGGTATATATATGTGTGTGTGTGTGTGTATCCTTTTCTTTTCCTCATCTTTTATTGAGGCACCTCAGACAGCTCTTCAGGAATGTCCCTTCCTGGACTGATCACTACGCTCTGAACCATTCTATTCAACTGTTCCAGCTTCCTTCACATCTTCTGTTCAGTTTACCTCCATTTGATGTAATACATGTTTAAGTGACTACACTGTGCAGGGACACCTGGGGTGAGCCTTGAGGGTAGCCAGGGTGGGATACAGAGATATGGAGATACAGTTGTCTCCCTAATAGAAGGAGAGCTCAGGGCTCAATGGAAGAGCCAAACAGACAACTACTGTCCCACAAGCCAAGAACAACGTAAAAGGTGTCCCCAAAGAGCCCAAGCAACTGACTTTGGATACCTAAGGAAGGAAGCAACTCTGACTGGAAAAATGGGAGAAGGTGATGGTTGTTCTGGGGTCTTGCTGGACAGAAGGAAGGGCACTCCTGGCGTGTGCACAGGCCCAGCAGTATGGCACTTGTCAGCAATGGCCACCAGAACCCATACCCAGGATGCGTTATGGCAGAGAGAAAATTAGCAAGGCTAGATTAGCAAGGACCTCACAGGACAAGCTGTAAAAATTGGGCCTTCTGGGAACAAGGAATGCCTCACAGGGCTTCAAGGAGAACAGAACAGACTCCTCAGGGTGGGAGGTTGGTTTTCACCACTATGCATAGTAGTGCGCGGTTCTTAACTGGGTTCTTAGCAGATGAAGAAAAAGGGATTTTTAACTGCATGTACCCTTTGGATTGACCAAAGAATCAGACATTCCAAAGTCCCATTCTGGGGCTTCTACTGACCTTTGTCCTGTACCAGCACCTCCAGCTCTTCCCGAACACCATCATACCAGCTTGTAATGTCCACATGGAGGGAGTAGTCACAGCAGGATTTGGTGTCAGCTGCTTCATGCCACTTCTCAAAGGAGGTCAACAGGCTGGATCCAGGTTCAGGAACAACATGGTCAACTGAGAGAGAGAAATGTGTGTCATGAGGTTTAGGACCTGAGGTGCTCCAATGGCAGCCACATCATCACCACCACCATTACCATCAGACCCATCCTAATCATCATCACCGTCTGATCACCACTAACACCATTATCAGCACCATCATCACCGTCTGATCACCACCATCACCATCACCATCCTTTTCATTATCACTCCCGCCACCACTATCACTATCATTACCACAATTGTCAGCAGTGACGTCACTGGTCTTCATCATCCTCACTGCTGCCATCAGCATTAACTAGTTATCAAATGCTTACCATGTGTCACATAGTACCACAAAGACTTTACATAAATTATCTCATGTAATGCTCATAGCCATCTCATGAGGTGAGTACAGCTGGCTCTCTGTATCCACAGTTCCTCTTCTGCAGATCCACCCAATCGCTGAGGGGATCAGGACTTTGCTTGCTCATGAGCTGAGCCATACCCTCTTGACTCAAGGCCTGGGGGCAGCTCAGACACACAGACCCTGGCCACACTGGCTGGCCATAACCCACAGAGTGCACTTCTAGAAGGAAACCATGGAGAGGAAAGCTGGGGCCAAGTCACAGCAGAGCCACCAAAACACTTGAGAGGACGTTTACAGTTAACTGTGGCCTATTTAATAAAAACACTTATTAGGATGGAATCCAAGTGAACGCAGATATGCAAACACAGAACAAAAGAGAGCAATAAGATGCATGGGAGGACCAGCAGATGGTGTAATAGCTACGTTGCTGGACTCCCATGGAGTCGACCACGGTTCAAGTTCAGACCCGGCGTGTTAACACTCACACCAGGTGTGTGTGTGTGCACTTGTGTGTGTTTGTGTGTGTGTGCCCAAATCCTGAGAGGAGAATGAAGGAGAAAGGATTGTGGTGTGGTCATTTTCCCCAGGGTTGACTTCTTGCTTTCTGTCTCTCTGTCTCTCCAGCAAGCACATGCAAGCTACAGCAAAAACCTCTCTCTCTCAAAAAGAGATGCATATGGAAGCAGAGGAAGAATCCAGTACCCCATGTAGACCGGGTAGTAAGAGATATTACTTGTCCACAGTCTTTCTTCCTTACCCACCCTCATCATGGTCCTCTGGGGCACAGGGTATCTCAGCAGCTTGGTGCTTGGCTATGTTTGCTTTGGCCAACAGAACGTGAGTGGAAATCCTAGCGTGAAAGTGAAAAGGTGAGGTGGCAGAGGAGTAGCAAGTTCCTGCCACACCCCTCTTGTTCGCTGTCATTCATAATGACAGCACGGTCAGGGTCGTTGGTTCTAGAAGGGGAGACCTTTGGTCCAACCCTAAATGCAACCTGTAACCTAAAGCAGAGCTACTCCAGGTCCACTCTTACTCCTACAGACCCTTGAATGAGTGAAACAACCGTTATTTGAGATTCGGAGGCTGTTTACCATGCAGCATTATCACAGCATCTTTGCAGCAATATTGACCAGTTCAGCCCCTTCCCAGCTATGCAGTCTTGAGCAAGTCACTGATCCGAGTCCTCGTCTCACCATCCAGCCTAGTAGCACCTAGGGCGCTGGTGCTAAAACGTCAGCTATCTGAACGCCGTGCTGCAGAGCTTTTCTTTTTTTGCTTCATCTCTCTATAATTCATATCATTCTTAATTCTTTTCTTTAGATCAATTCTAATCCTAAAAATCTAAATGCTAACTTCTATCTCATTCTAACTTATAATAACCGTGACGTGCTTGTTATTTTATTTTAATCCATATTAAGATCATTAAAAATATTTTAATGTCCCTATGCCTATAAATAAATCATTGTGTATACCACCAGAAGCACACATGAAATGCTTTTAAAATATTGTCCTCTGCCCTAGGGCTGTAATGAGAATGAAATTAAATGATGATTTAAACTAAGTGCCTGGTAAGTCCAGAGCACTTACAGCAATCACATTAGAGACCAAGAAGAGCACTCAAACTTATGTCCCCAAGGCAGAAGACAGTGAAACTCACTGATCATTGTGGTCCCGCCTGCCAGCGCTGCTCTGGTCCCTTGGAAGAAGTCGTCGGCAGCCGTCATGCCCTGAGAGGGCTTCTGCAGGTACGTGTTGACATCAATCCCTCCAGGAAGGACCATCCGTCCATTGGCCTCAATGGTCTTCACTCCACCAGGAACAATCAAGTTCTCTCCTATTTGTCTGGAGGCAAGCAAAGGACAGGGTCTTTGGTTTTTAAAAGGGAAAAATGGACAGTCAATGTCGGTTCCATTAAATAAACATTTCTGGGCCAGGCCCTACACAAAGCACTGGGTAGACAGCTCGGCAGGCCCCATGCCCTCGAGGGGTTCATGATCTAATGAGCAGAAAGGGCATGTAAGCAGACAGTTAGAATCGAGCCCAGCATGGCTGGTCAGAGAGCACAACGTGGGCTGCTGTTTCATTCTTCCTGGCTCTCGGGGAAGGTTTTCTGGGGGAGGTGGTTCCAGAGCTGAGTCCGACAGAGGTGAGATCAGCACCTCCATCGTGTGGCACGGGGTTGTCTGAATAGCCTGTCACTCTAGAGTATTGTGCATAATTTTGGTAACCCTTAGTGATACAGGGAGACATTGGGGCAAGCAGTGAGAAGTCTCCTTGGCTCTGCAAGCTTGCAGAGACACTGTTAAGAGCTGAACTGTACCCACTCCCAACCCCTATGTTGAAGTGCTAGCCCCAGTACCTTCGAATATAATGACACTTGGAGGTAGGATCTTTATGAGGTCATTGAGTAATATGAGGTCATCAGGATGGGCCACAATCCAGTACCACTCTGGTCCTTACAAGAAGAGAAGATTGGGACCCAGGCATAGAGAGAAATGATCAAGTGAGGACCCAGGGGAAGACGGTCATTCATAAGCCAAGAGAGGCCCCAGGAGAAAACTCTGATGACACTTCTATCTTGGACTTTTGGCCTTCAGAAATACGAAGAAATATATTTCAACTGTTTAATCTGCCTGCTCTACGGCACTTCACAGCCGCTGATACAAGCAACCTGGAGTCTCATTTCAGCCAGCCATGAACACTGGCGTCAGGAAAACTACTTAAACTGTGTATAAAAGAGAAAGCTAATACCACCACAAAATCTGCTGAGAGGGAAATCACACTGGGGCAGGAGAATTTTTTTCTGAACATAATGACCATGACTTCTGTTCCCTAATGCAAAAGCTACCTGAAGACTTCCTGCAGGAGAGAAATTCCAAATGGGAGAGAGAGGAGTCTAAGCAATCTGAAACCTGGCCCTCTATGGTCTACATGAATGACCTACTTCATACCTTATTGGTTGGAACCAACTGAGTCAGGATATTTGTCAAGGTAACAGGTGGAGGATCAGCCAGACCAGTCAATGCCTGGCCCGGGCAACTACACACACAGACACACACACACACACACACACACACACACACACATGCACACACATATGAATAGAGTTTTTTGCTATAAGATGTGTATACTCACCAGAGAGACAGAAAGCAAGAAATCACCCCCCAGGGGGGATGGTCATAATGCAATCCCTTCTCCTCCACTCTCCCCTTGGGATTTTGGGCACACACATACACACATCCAGCACGAGTTTTAAGTCACTGGGCCTGAGACTCAAACTGGGGTTGACTACATAGGAATCCAGCCATGTACCCATTATGCCATCTGCTAGTCCCTCAGACCACTATCTTGACCTCAAACAATTTTTATTTGGAAATACACACACATATACACACACATGTGCACGCACACACAGTTGCTCTGAACTCTCGAGAACAGGCAGCACATTAATTGTTCTAAGTCACATAAAAACAGTACTAGTGAAGACATGGGAAAAAATTCCTTCAGCCACCCGAAAATGTCAGGGCTTGAGAGGGATTCATACCCACGGCAGTGAAAGTAGACCCCTTCATTCCTCTGGACTTTGGGGTGTGGCTGGTCCAGACAGAAGTGATGCGAGAACTGGGGCACCACATGTCCTTCCGAGACGGGAAACAACCTACAGGAGCGTGGTGCCCGGGCCGAGGCACACCAGGAAACGCCGCCTTCCCACCGCAGCGCTGCACCTGCTGCCCCGGCTATCGCTTAGCACCCATCCCCACTCTCCCTCCTTTCCAATCCAGCTACAGAAATCTTAGTTTGTCCAATCGCTCTGCTATCCTTCTCCAAACACATGGACTTATGCCAGGAGCTGCAGGGAAAGAGGTGCAGGAAGACGCCCACACCAGCACTAATAACAAAAGCAGTTAGCATCCACTGAGCGGTGACTGAAACGGAGGCCTTTCAAAGCAGTTCACGCATGATCTCATTTAACCCGACAACTAGCTTTCAAAGAGGACAGAGGTCGTGTGCAAAACTAACGGCCCGTTCAGAACGGGCACTGGCTGTAGATCTTCAGCACAGCCGTACTGTGGGTCAGTGGAGTCACAGCCCATCTGACTTGAGCCTGGGACTCAGTGGCCATGCTGGGGGGCAACAGGTACTTAATCAGGGCCCCATCCTTATCAGGCACGACAGTAGCCTTCCTTTACTCGTCTCCTCTAACCTGCTGCCAACAATCCTATGCAGTGAGAGGGATTCTCAGTTTGCAAAAGAGGACAACCAGAACTCAGAGAGATGTGGCGAAATGTCCAAGGTCACACAGCAAGTCAGCCATGAGCCTGGGTTCTAGTCCAGGTTGCCCCAAATCCACTCAGGCCTGACTTCTCCCCTTATATAAAAGCAGCAGATCTCCAAAGAAGGATTACACTAAGCAGGACCCCCAATGGGTTAAGAGGAAGTCACTGAAGGGTGCACAATAGCAAGGGAAGAAGGGAAGGAGGAAGGAATCAGACACCCCAGACGCCCCTGCCCACCTCCCTGTGCCCTGCCCAGAGTTCAGGAAACCCCTCAGGCACTGCATGACTCACCACCCCTCGGAAACTGAATGGAACCTCCATGAATCACAATGCAATGAATCAAAGCAGATGAACAGCTTTTAGGAAAACTTGGAAAATTACTACTAAAACAAAAAAAAGGGATTCCTGGAGTTTCATTTAAGTGAAGAAACATATCTGAACCGCCCATGCCAGGTGGTCCCTGGGGTCAGCCAGGGGCCCTACCCTCCGGCTCTCTTCCACACCTACCCTTCTTGGCCGGTGGACCTGCGCTCCAATGACCATGCGAAGACCCCACCAGACATGCAGTCCTGGCCACTCGCTTGGCTCTCAAGGTAGGAAAACGAATGTCAGCTCACAAAGCTTTTCAGCCACAGAGTGCGGAGGGAAAAAGGCTCTTTAACCAAGAGGGGGTGACTGGTTTAGAATCGAGGGAAACGGTAGATTTCCTCAGCAGCCTGGTGGCCAGAGCCGTGGACTGCAGGTGTTCACATGAACAGCAGGCACTTAATCAATGCAGCAACCAGGACCCCGGGCCCTATCAGTCACAGGGTGGGGCAGCAAAGCCCTGGAAGAGGGCTTGGCCTGGGAAAGACGGGGTAGAAGTGGCCAGTGTGAACTTCAAACAGCTCCGTAATGAAACAGTGACCCCATGAAATACAGTTCTCAGGGTTATTTTACCCTCCCTGCCCGAGAACCCGAAAGCCGCACACAAAGGGGACCTTGCCCCAAACTGTTCTCTATATCTAAGCAGCGTCTGAGTTAGAAAAGCTCATTATTTATCACGTCTCGCCCCACTCCCCCAACCCTCGACCTGCCTTGAACCCCTTTCTGATTCCAAGCCATAGCATGATTAAAACCAGTGTCTTCACCCCTGGTGGGCCAAGTCCACGTGTATGCACTTGCCCTTGGTCAATACCCCGGGCACCTGCTCTGTACCAGAAGCTATGCTAGGCCCCAGCGTGGGAGGCAGTAAGGCAAGGCCCTTGCCAAGGGGCGATATGGTGTGAGGAGGGCAGGGAGAGAAGGCAGCCCTACGCTAGAGAGACACTGGCTCAGGGTCAAGGAAGGCTTCCTGGAGGAAGAATCCATGAGCTGAAAGACAAATAGAAGTTGAAGGAAGGGTGTGGGAGGAAAGGGATAAAACATTCCAGGAAGAAAATCTGTGGTTGGAGGTCCAAGAGTTCTAAGGTCAGAACAACCTGGAAAGTTCTCTAAACCCCAAGGCTTCATTGTGAGTGGGAAGAGCTAGCAAAGAAAGAGGAGGGGATGAGGCAGAGGTGGGGAAGCCAAGCTGGTCTTGCAATGAGCAAAGTCTGCGGGAGAGGTGGCGGTGAGGAGACAGGAGGCAGCAAGGGCTCAGCTGTGTCCCCTCTTCGGGGAGTGCCGTGCACACGCACACTCTGGGACCCCTCCTAGAGAACCGTGCCTCCTCACCAGTCAAAGGCAGGCCACACAGAAACCACGGCAGGGCGAGACCATGTTTCCCCCAAATTCACACTGTGGCCTCAACCCCCATGCATCCGTATTTGGAGATGGGACCTTTACAGAAGTAATTAGGGGTAAATGACGTCACAAGGGTGAGTCCTCACCCAACAGGACTCATAAGCGCACACAGAGGAAAAGTCGCGTGATGGCACCACGGGAAGGGTCTGCAGGACGGGGAATGAATCCTCAGGCCTCAGGGAACCCTGATGGCACCTGGGTCCAGGTCCCCAGAGAGAGGAGGAGTGTGTGTGTTTAAACTCCCAGCAGCCCTCGCTTGGCATCAGCAGGGCTGGAGAGGAGGTTGAAGGGAGAAAGTGGGGGAACACTGCAGTCCCAGCACTTGTCCTCTTTAAGTTGGAAGCCAACATCCCTCTTTTCCCCCTTGGTCCCCTCAACCCAATTCCAGGATCTGTAGGCAGGTAGATAGCGAGCTGTGAATGCAGTCAGGTGTCTGAGGAGAGATCGGGCTTTGTCCCAGCTCACCTACACTGTAGGCCAACTATTCGGCCTCACTGGCCTGCCACTGCCGTACGGTAAATAGGGAGCAGCGTGTGCATGGCATGGCCTGATGGTCACACTAAATGACACAGGCTGCACTGGCTGAGAGCCTGCCCCAGGGCCCTCGACAAATGCTAGTCTTCCCCACCTGCAGTATGGACCTCCCCAAATCTCTGTGAAGCCTCTACCCCCGAGATACAGGAACACCATCATTCTAGGGCAGAGTGCCAGCCCTCCACTCCACCTAAGGCCGGGCAGCCTAGGGAGACAGGTTTCTTAAAAGGCGTGTGTTGGTCAACCCACTTTATAAGTCCATCTTCCAAGTAGACATCGGCGTAAAAGGACTGGTCATCGTTGATGATTCGCCCACCCTTGATGAGGAGCCGGTCACTCTGAAAAGCAAAGCAAAGTATTAAACATCACTGGAGAAAAGCCAAGAGAACCTTCTTTTAACCTTTAATATAAAAATTCTCAAGTATTTTCCAAAGTAAACAAATGGGAGGGTCAGTCAGTGGTGCAGGGGTGAGCATGGAGCAACAGTGAAGAGTGCTCTGTGAGGGTGACCCACATGGCAAGGCTCCAGGTTCATGTCTGGAGGCCTCCTCGAGTACACCAGGCATTGCTCACCCATGTTCTAGGACTGCAGGGGCTACAGGTGGGTCAGGGCATCAAGATTCTCTTGGGGGTACTATCTCTCTGTATGTCTCTCTCTCTCTCTCACTTATAGAGGAAATAAAAGAGAGAAAAGAAAAGAAATGGTCTCAACCCCCCCACACACCAGATCCATCACCTAGCTTCAAGGCTTCCCATTCTCATTTCACCTGTTCCTCCCTCCCCCTTCTCAATGCTTTGTTTTGGTTTTGCTGACATGTTTTAAAACCAATCCCAAAGATCCTATCATTCCACCTGTAAATACTTCAGTATGTATCTCTGTTAAGGACTTTTTTTCACAGAGATTTTTGCTGCAGAGCATGTGCACTTGCTGGAAAGACAGAGAGAGACAGAAAGTGAGAAATTACCCCCCAGGGGAGATGGCCATGCTGCAATCTGTTCTCCATTCTCCTCTCAGGATTTGGGGCACACATGTGCATGCACCCAGCATCAGTTTCAAGCCACTGGGTCCAGGACTCAAACCGCAGTCACCCATGTGGGAGTCCAGTGACATAACCTCTACACCATCTGCTGGCCCAATGACTTTAAATAAACATAACCACAATCCACTATCCTAACTAACCCAATTAACAGTAATATCTTCAAATCAAGCACTAATCAGACTATGTTCAATTTTACCTCATTATCTCAAAAAAGTCTTTTTACAGTTGATTAGTTGAATCTGGATCCATAGCAAGTCCTCACAGTGCTCCTGGCTCATAGTTCTCTCCTGGGTCAGAGTTTTCTGCCAAAAAACTATAATGGTTTCTCCTCCCCCTCCCCCCATAGGGTGTGTGCGCTCACTAGAAAGAGACAGTGAGAGGGAAAGTGAGAACTGTCCAGAGGAGATGGCCATGTGCAATCTCTTCTCCTCCATTCTCCTTTTGGGATTTTGGGCACACATAAACACATGTCCAGTGTGATTTTCAAGCCACCAGATCTGGGTCTCGAACTTTGATCAGTCATGTGGGCATCCAGCACCTTAACTACCATGCCACCTGCTGACCCTCCTCTCCCTTTTTAATGTCATTCATTTATTGAAAGAACTGGGTATTTTGTAGAACACGAATTTCTTAAGGCCATGAAGATGATAATGATCAACTAAATATGATAAAGATCAATTTAAAGACAATTTTTTTTGAGAGAGAGAGATTTTTGCTATAGGGCATATGCACTTACCACAGAGACAGTGAGAGACAGAGAGGGAGAAATCACCCACATCCCCCCAGGGGAGATGGCCATGCCACAATCCCTTCTCCATTCTCCTCTTAGGAACCCTCTTGGGACCCTGGGCATGCACACATACACACCAGATCTGGGACTCGAACTGCAGTTGACTACATGGGAGTCCAGCAATATAACCATTATACCAACTGTTGGTCCCCCAAATTTTTTTGAGAGGTTTTTTGCTATAGGGCGCATGCACTCACCAGACAGACAGAGAAAGACAGAGAGACAGAAAGCAAGAAATTACCCCCTAGTGGGGATGGCCACGCTGCAATCCCTTCTCCTCCATTCTCCTCTCAGGATCTTGGGCAAACACGCACACGAGCCCGGCTGAGTTTTAAGCCACTGGGTCCGAGATGCAAACCGCGGTTGACTACGTGGGAGTCCAGCGACATAGCCATTATGCTAACTGCTGGTCCCCTCTGGTCCCACATTTTTAAGATAATGATAAGACTAAAAACACCCTGCTCCTCCAGGAGGACTGAGAGTCAGTTGTTCTCCATCTTTCCCCATTTTCCACAACTGTGCCCACGTGCTCACATCCATGCACTGATCAGTTATCAGCCAGTGTTCCCTGCTCCAAACCCAGGACAAGGGCCTGTGGAGCTGGAATCTGTTCTTATGGGGCTAATGGGGAGACAGTTGTTTAACAAGTCACGTGGGTGTGTGGGGATTATAGGAGGAGAGTGGCGTGCTGGCCATGGAAAGGTAAAGGGGCTGCTAACCTCATCTGGGGGGCAAGCATGGCAAGCTCACACCTAGAAGTAAGTCAAGAGAAGCTGGACCAAATGAAGGTGAAAAGAAAGAAGACCAGGAAGGTGACTGTGGGTGGGCAGAGAATGAGGTGCAAGGCCCAGAGGTGCTAACACTCTAGCAGTTGAAAAGAACAGACTCCTGTCCCTTGCATTTTACCAAAAGCAGGTCCCTAGTTATTAGATGTGCTTCATGACCACAATTCCTAAATGTCTACAAAACATTCCATCTTATAGATACATGATCAATTGTTCAATTAATCCCCCTTTGTTGGACATTTACATTATTTTTCATTTTTTGATGATACATATTGCTTCAGTGAACATCTCTGGACACAAAATTTTTTCTTAGTTTGAATGCTTTGTTTGGCAAAATTCTCAGGAGTTAACAACTGGGTCAAAGAGCATAGACCTCACGTATAGCCTTGATAAATATGACCTAACGGTTTTCCAAAAGCTTTGCTGCAATCTACCAGGCATAAGAACACTAACCGCCCTTGTTTATCAGTAATCGCTGTTGCTGGGCATTTCTTAGAGGCTGAGAATTGTTCCCCGTGTGCTTACTGACTACTTGATTATCTCTAAGCCAGAGATGAGGTGATGAAAGAAACATCTGCCTTAAGTTCATCCCTTGGTTGAGGGAGAGAGAAAGGAAAACAGTCACAATTCAGCACAGCCACTTACGAAGGAGTGCCTCAGTCCTCCTGAAAGCAGATCTGAGACAAGGGCATGTAGCACATGTGGGAGGCAATTCCGTGATGTGGAGTGAGGATGCACAGAAAGGCAACGGGCATGGAGACCCAGCAGAGAGTGTGATGCGGTTAAGCCTGGACAACAGGCTTGAGCACTCTGACCAACTGTGCAGAACACAGAAGGCCCCTTGGACTATGGTTCCAATATCCCAATGGTCCCATGGCATCTATCATGAGAAGTAGGATTCTGTGGGAAGAAGAGCTCTACCCAAAGGAATTGGGGGACGTCCTAAGCAGAAACAGACCATGCTGTCAGCTGCTCAAAGTCTTGTGGTGGGTTCTTGCATCAATATTATATTTTCCTCAGAGGGAAAACCAAGGTCCTCAAGTTAGTTGGAATCTTACTCTCATGGTAAAGCTCATCCTCCAGGGGTTTTGCTCAGCGTCACTTACCTGAGAGCCCTCCCCTTGATCGCCCCGTTTGGAACATCACATCCCTCGTCTACTTGAGGTTCTCATAGTAGTTATCATAATGTATCTGACACAGCATTTATTTGCATGTCTAAGACGTGGCTAGCCCATAAGCAAAGTTCTGCAATCAGAACTTTGGTGAATCACCTCTTGGCTGTGAAAGGCACAACTCTACAGGAGACCAGTGCATGTTACTCTGTCTGGGGTTTGTCCTGCCCTGTCCTTTGCAGACTGTTAGCTCCATGAGGGCAGCAACACCACCCACTCTTTACTTCCTGTTGCATCTTCAATACCTTGACACAATCTGGTGAGATGAATGGACAGATGGATGAATGGACAGGTTGGGTGGGTGGATGAATGGATGGATGGACGGAAGGATGAATGAGAGAGTGGCGGGTGGATGAGTGGCTGGGTGGACAGGTAGGGTGGGTGGGTGGATGGATGAATGAACAGATGGATGGATGGATGGATGGATGAATGGAAGACGGAGTGGTGAGTGAATGAGTAGTTGGGTCAATAAATGCATGGATGAATGGGTGGATGGATGAATGGACAAGTAGGGTGGATTGATGGATGGATGGATGGATGGATGGATGGATGGATGGATGGATGAGAGAGTGGTGAGTGGGTGAGTGGCTGGGTGGATAGATGCATGGGTGAATGGGTGGATGAATAAATGGACAGGTAGGGCAGGTGGATGGATGGATGGATGGATAAGAGAGTGGTGGGTGGATGAGTGGCTGGGTGGATAGATACATGAATGAAGGATGGATGGATGAATGGACAGGTAGGGTGGGTGGGTGGATGGGTGAATGAGTGGGTGGATGAGTGGATAGATGGATGGATGAGAGAATGGTGGGTGGATGAGTGGCTGGGTGGATAGATGCATGGATGGATGAATGGACAGGTAGGGTGGGTGGGTGGATGGATGAATGGATAGATGGATGAATGGATGGATGGATGGATGGATGGATGGATGGATGGATGGAAGGATGGATTTGGAAAGACTAATGGGTGAAGATGGAGGGAAAAGATATCACAGCCATGAGCCAAAGAAGAGAAATGCAGCATAGCACTTCCTATTCCACAGCAAGAGAGTCTCTGGAGGAAGGAGCATCAAGATAAGTTTCTGTCAGGCCCAACAACCAGCCCTTCATCCATAAGCTAGAAGGCAGCCATAGTCTTACTCTGTGGTGAAGACTCACTAACTGTCTAGAGAGGGCACTCTAGGACAATGCACAGAAGCAGCCTGGGCTCTGCCTGCCCAGGTAGCAGAAACAAGCTGGAGTTCAGGATTCCCCTGGCACCAAAATGCAGGAAACCGTGAGTCACCGGCATCTGGTGCATGACTTCCAGAACACGGCCTCCCACAGGCAGCCATCCGCCTCATCACATTTAATAGTGGGCTTTTCAGGCTCAGCCTGAAAGGTGGTATTTAGTGCACTGTGTGCCAGAGATCAGCCCCAAACCTGTCGTGCCCCTCCTAGAATCAGATGGTGGAGCTTGTGTTCAAATACACCCATCCCCAGCTGCCACCAAGGCTTTGCACAGAGACTCCAAGGGGTCCAAGCTCTTGGTGTCTCTCGGGTGCCAGTGTAT